CTCTCTCTCTCTCTCTCTCTCTCTCTCTCTCTCTCTCCTATGCATTAAATGCATAGCTAATGCCACAAAGCGAGGCAATTGTTGTTGCTAAATTATTCAACACATATATGTCATCACACTATGCAAATATGCCCTGTCGAAGAACATCCGCTCGCTTCGGTTCACACGAGGGCAGGCAGATGGGGGGTGACTTTGTCTTGCACGGTTCTCCGTCCCTTATTCTGGTTCCCGTGTTTTTTGCTAATACAAGCGCTTCGTATATTCTCCTGCTTTGGGACTCACGACCGAATGCTTCCGTTGTCGGGCCTGAAATTATGTTCCCCACTAGACAGTGATTATTTTTTCAATTTACCATAAAGGTACCTTTATGGGTGCTGAGCAAAAAAATTTACTTATTTATTTTGAAGTTGCATTTCACCGATCTAACTAGAGAAAAGCGCATGCACAATCTGTTTTCCTTTAGATCTCATAATACTAAGCCCTTGCAATTAGTAATATAGTGACGAGCACTCCACATTTTTGCTCTACTCTGGTAGTAAAATTAGTTCCTCATGCGCCCACGAAGGTCGAAAGCTCCTCAGTACGAGGTCATTGCTTCTCAGAAAGTTCTCTCCTGTAGGTGCTTTTCTTCTGCTTCTTCGTCGCTTTCTAAGCAAGTGTTTCGAATACGCCGACCTCTGCTAGCTAGACCTGTTGAGCTTTTGTTTTCTTAATTTACTAATTTTTTTTCTGCGTACAAGCCTGCGTGTAATTTGGACCTGGACGCTTTTTCGCACCTTGCTTGGTCTGGTCCTGCTCGGCCTTTGTGCCGGCGTCGTGTATGTAAAGTTCATTTGTGTATGTGGGTGCGATTGTCCCTACGCATGCACACACACAGCCACAGACGTTTCTCCGTCTCTACCTGCGCGGGTGCGCAAATGTTTTCCGCCTCTGCCTGCCCGGGGTGTACCCAACTTCACCTCTTTTTTCACGGCAATTCGCGCTGATTTTCTGCCGTGTGAGAAGAGCATGCGGGAGGTATCTTTCGTGTGCCTGTGGCGGCTAGGCCAGCAATAGCATGCCGGATCTTCATGACGCGGCAGAATAGTCCTTAGCCGGCCTCTCGTTTGTGTATGTGTAGGCGCAGATGACGAAGTTATTCTCCTCCCCGCTGTCTTCCCGGTGTACTTTTCGCCTGCAGCGACGACGCCGTGCGCAGATCATTTGGTACCATTTTCCCGCATGCGTTAAGACACCACGCTGTGACGCTAAGTATATAAACAATCAGTCGTCACTGTCATTTATTTTGAGCTGAAGATCTCTGTCCAAGTCCACGGTCCTTTTCATATCTGTAAAGTGCTTACGCCCTCCGCAGCTAGTACCTATTGCAGCGCACTAAGAGGGAGATGTCAGCGTCATGCCGCCGCTGCTGC